AATGTCATAGAAAATTCTAAAGTGGTTCTAATGTGTGTCAGACATTCTGTTGATCGGAGATAAACCATTCTTGTAAAACCAAGTTCAGGGTGTTTCAAAAGTTTTCTCAGGATGCATACTTTTTAAATAACTTTTTATCCATTTGTCCAAACTTGATTAGCTGTAGAAATATTTTATAACCGAGGAAAATTTGGGTACCAGTACCGGCACCTTTGAGTTCGGCTCTAAATCAAATCAGTATCACCTGTAGTATTCAACTACATGTGCAAGATGCTTTATTGCTTGTAACCACTTCCCCAACTAACCCCTAACTAAACCCCACACAGAGTAGCCAGGGACAAAAGGATTTCGCGGCATGTACGAAATCGCGAAATTTCTTATTCTCCGCGACAAATTTTATGTATAGTTTAATGTATAGCCTGTTGAATTTCGCGGTATCGCGAAATTTGGCCAAAATAATCGCGAAATCCTTTTGTCCCTGAGAGTAGCCGCGTGAGAGCATGATTTATATGCAATTAGGTTTTCATGGGTAGTAAGAACCTAAATCTTGTTGCCTGCACAAGAGCAGTTGTAACTGCACCACCACAATTTTTTTGTGAACAAGCTGATTTGAATCCTTAGATCCTATCATGTGGTATTACTATTAGGTACTAGGTATTAGAAACACTGCCGGCCGACTATTAGCTGGTTAATAGCCGGCCGGCACTGACCGCTCAACATTGTACCCATTTGCCGGAAACTCCAGTAATATAATATAACTTTATTAACTATTAACTAATAATATTACTTTTGATTAGCATTGTGTACTGTGCAGTTATTGATTGGTTTGATTGCCAATAATATTAATCGCGACTGTGTAAATAGTATTAGTATTAGTAATGATATAGATAATATAAATAATATTTTGGCTTCACGGAAACTGGAAATGTCAGTTCCGTTAAAAATACAAAATAGAACTTCCCTGGCGTCACCTGCCATGGGAGTATTTTTCTTCCCTTTTTTTCTTATCAGTGATAAAGAATGTAGATTCGGCAATTTTCTGAACAACTAAAGGGTCGTTCACATATTACGTAATCACTTTTTGGACAATGTTTACCCCTCCCCCTCCGTAATCAGTTTTACACATAGCTATTGTGTCAAAATTACACTAGCGTAATCATTTGAAAACCCCCCTCCCCCTCGGCTGATTACGTAATATGTGAACGACCCTAAGTAACACGAGAGTGAACAACTACGCAGAATTATTGTTAAAAACCCTAATCTTAACCTTAAACTTAATCATAATCCCAAATTTAACCCAAACCCTATCCCCCACCTTAACAAGACAGTCTGTCCCTAACCCTAACCCTAACCCTAACCCTAACCCTAACCCTAACCCTAACCCTAACCCTAACCCTAACCCTAACCCTAACCCTAACCCTAACTTTAACCCTAACCCTAACCCTAACCCTAACCCTTACCCTAGCCCTAACCCTAACCCTTACCCTAACCCTAACCCTAACCCTAACCCTAACCCTAACCCTAACCCTAACCCTAATTATAACCATAAACCTCATTCTACTAGTACTTCTCTAAGGCCCAAGTGCCCACAAATCCCGTGATCTTGTTCCGCCGGAGCACTTCAGGCCTCGTATACTTAGCAGAAGCGATTTTTAACCCCAATACCAATAGCCTCTGTGCTTCTGTATCCTCAGACCTTGACCTATTGGAACACAAGGTTTTACCCTGTGGCTCACTTTATCAGCAACCTTGATCGCACTTACAGTTACAAGATTTAGCTTCTAAATAGCACACTTCCCTACAACTGTTTAAGCAGGGATTGATCAATTTTAAGCAGTCTGTGGTGAACTGATATTTAGTGCTGGTGCAATAAAGTGTCGGAATAAAGTTTTGTCGCAATAAATGGTGTCTTAATATCGTACGGGGTTACCCGGATAAAATATCTGGGGTATTAAGTTTTGCACGTCCTGTGACTCAGTGACATGGCCGGTATGAGCTCATAGACAGGAAGACGTCAATCCAACATTAGAAACTAATAAAGTTTGTAATAGCATAACCTAATTTGGAGATTTCCAAGCATTTTTGGGAAAGGGGGAAATGTTGGGGCCTAACCAGTAACCAACATTAGAAACTAATAAAGTTTGTGATAGCATAACCTAATTTGGAGATTTCCAAGCATTTTTGGGAAAGGAGGAAAAGTTCCTGCGTGGCTAGAACTTGCCACCATGGCCGCTGCTAACCACCGGTCCCTGCGTGGCTACAACTTGCCACCATGGCTGCTAACCACCGGTCCCTGCGTGGCTACATCTTGCCACCATTACTGCTAACCACCGGTCCCTGCGTGGCTACATCTTGTCACCATGGCTGCTAACCACCGGTCCCTGCGTGGCTACATCTTGCCACCATGGCTGCTAACCACCGGTCCCTGCGTGGCTACATCTTGCCACCATGGCTGCTAACCACCGGTCCCTGCGTGGCTACATCTTGTCACCATTGCTGCTAACCACCGGTTCCTGCGTGGCTACATCTTGCCACCATGGCTGCTAACCACCGGTCCCTGCGTGGCTACAACTTGCCACCATGGCTGCTAACCACCGGTCCCTGCGTGGCTACAACTTGCCACCATGGCTGCTAACCACCGGTCCCTGCGTGGCTACATCTTGCCACCATGGCTGCTAACCACCGGTCCCTGCATGGCTACAACTTGCCACCATGGCTGCTAACCACCGGTCCCTGCATGCGTGGCTACAACTTGCCACCATGGCTGCTAACCACCGGTCCCTGCGTGACTACAACTTGTCACCATGGCTGCTAACCACCGGTCCCTGCGTGGCTACATCTTGCCATAATGGCTGCTAACCACCGGTTCCTGCGTGGCTACATCTTGCCACCATGGCTGCTAACCACCGGTCCCTGCTTGGCTACATCTTACCACCATGGCTGCTACGATAACTGGCTAGTGAGTAGTGAACCCAGTACCATTTAGATCGGTTAGAGAATACGAATTTAAGTGATTGCTCCCCGGACACTGCCGGTTACGCCCTGCCTTATATGAAATAATCGGTAATGTCTATTGATAACTGAAGTATTCCGTTTTACCTTTATAGTTTACTGCAATCGTATGATCGCTTTTTCTAGTCGCTACTATAGTACTAAGGTGATTGAAAGTTTTAAGTTCGTATTATGTTGAACTTGATAGGTGTTAGCAAATTCTGAACTGTAAGGCAATAATAAACAGCAAAATGTCGTATTTAACTCTCACCCTAATCATATGTTCAAATATTATTATGATGAAAGTCTGAAAACTGGTAAAAGTTAAGATCAACTATTCTTATCTTTAAAAATACTGGCCGCTCTATATATTAATATAACTAAACCACTTAAGCGTTTGACTACCAATTAAATAATACGTCAAAGTTTGATTAAGTTCTTTCCTCGGAAAGTTTCCAAGCTGACAATTTGATCTTGACAGCCGATTACTTGAATATCTTCCTTAAAATGTCTTCCTTGAACTGGGACTTTCATTGGTTGAATGTTCCATAGTATTGACCACACTGAGACTACAGCTCTATTTAGGCGAGTAATATTGTCATATTATATATGCGTGTGTAACACACACTGAGCGTCGCGTTAGTCAGAGCTCGACCCCGGGGAAACAAGGTTTAAGGATCTCAATTTTACAAACCAGACTTAGTTCCTTTGATTCTCTTTATTTGATTTACTTAATTCTGTATCTCAACAGCGGGGAGCTGGCCGCTAAAAACGCGAAATTGCTATCGAATTACGCTAATGTTGGCAATTTAGAAGCCTGCAGCTTTCCTCTTTTCGTTATCTCCTGCTTCCTTATAATGCGTTTATAAAAGTTTACAAAATAGTGCCAGTAGCGTTGAATATTTACTATCAAGCTCAAAATCTCACGATTTCAATACATTGACTGAAATTCCAGGATCAATAATTATGGATAAATTTTCTGTTACAAATATTGTTTTGTCGCGATATACCATTTAGTAATTCCAGTGAAAATGAATCCACTCCAAAATTCGAGGTTTTAGCCGATTTCCGCATTTTAGGGGTTTCCAATAGGAGGTTTCGTCGGATGGGCCGTTTTCTGATGGTTTTCAGGGTTCGTTCTCGACCCAAAAAAGGAATTTAGACAAAATAATCGAAAATCACAAATAAGCATACTTCTGTCAGAACATTAAATTTCATGAAATGTGCCTGGTTGCAGATCATTGCACAAAAAGTAAACCTCGTACGAATAATCTATAAAATTATTGGTAATATGCCAACCAACACGTCATATTATGACTCATAACTAATTAATATCATCATAATATTATTATAAATGATGTAACATGAAGTTCAATGTCGATGATCCCGTTATACATGCTGATAGTGATAAGGATTGTATTGTATTGTAGTTGTGTACACGTACACGGTGAGATCTACTGCACTTCTGTGTACTACGCTCACCTACCGCTGCCATCAAAATATCAGTACTCTGTTTTGCTATCGTTAAATTTGAAAAGTTTAGATTTTTTTCGATCGTATCTATGTCTAGTGATAATCTCTTCGAATTGTTTGTACTCTGCATGTCGTTAATCCCCGGAATTTTGACTCAATAAAATTGAATAATCGTGTTACAGAGTAAAATAAGGCTGTAACGTGATACATGCCGGCAGAGCATTAGGTTTCGTATCATTAATCAAAATCGGATGATCAGATAATATACAAGCTTGAAAAACTCGTTAATCATAGTCTAATTTTAGCTACTTATTGTTCGTTTGGGTCCGAGCCTAAATGTGTTTTTCGAATTTGGGAAGCTTTGGACTTCAGTTTGAAAAGTTTCAATATTGACATATTATTTATTATTCGCCTTGAAAATTAAGTTGTGTGTAACTATACTCAATTTATCTTTAATAATGTTAAGAAGTAATCAATGTTATAATTGATTACTAGCACGACTGATACATTGACTCCTTTAACAAAACCTTTATCCCAGTTTAATACCAGGGAAATACCAGGCCCTATGTTACAATCTCCAAGAGCTGGTGTTATTTTACGGAACAAGAGTCGCACTTCTTCTGTCCTCGATGGTTTTAACCTTTCAGTATACTCCGGTTCTTCTATCCCCTCAGATGGTATGTTTTATATTTGTTAAAATGCGGTGAGTTTTATAATTTTGTTCGTTTGTTCGATGGTTTCTTTCCTATGATTAATATAGGGTTCATTCTTTATAATTTTATATTTTATAGACTTTCTCTGCCGTCATTCAGATCAGATTCAGTTCAATAATTTGTCGGGTACATCTTCTAATAAATGCAGACTTTGCGATACTTTGCAGCGAAGTATCGCGAAGAATGTTGGTATCTAAGTATTTTTCATTTTTACATATATAATTCAATATATTACATATCAATAATCCTATCATGACCCAATATGTAATCATTATTATCATTTCGTCCCGTACTCTTTCTTTCCCGGTACATGCATCTTTTGGTAGTAATAGTAACCATCGTAGTAATATAGTTTTACTTTATTTTCATTCGTAGGGTCGTGTTATAAAGTTAATTAAATGCCGGATGTTTTCTTTTATTCGCAGATCATTTTGGCAATAATATCGGTATCTTGCATTTTTGGCTGGGAATTTTAAATTCGGTTTCCAGAAATGTCTGGCTATACTTGTCATTGTTCCAGCAAACTTTTCGCCAAGTGATAATCAGAATATTTTAACTAAATTTACCACACATTTGACGCACCATGTGTCAGTAATGTTCTTATCCGGAAACTACAGAATTAAGAGCGTCTGGTCAACTCTGAATTTCCCAGATGACAAAATATGTCAATTTTAAACAATAGTTGCAATTTCGTCAAATCCACGAAAAACCGGGTTTTCCTAAATTCTTTGCGCTGGGAACTTAAAAATTGAAGAAAGAAAGTCAATTTTACAAATTAATTTTACCAGTAAAGTGTTGTTCCAGTTAACTGTCAACAATGGAATTCCCATGAAGCGCGATTAATACGCGGATTGTGAGTATGAATGTTGGGACAGATTCCCTGAAAACTATTCTCATGACGAATTTTTATATGATAGACTAGGAATCGCGACCCTAATCCGATTAAATGAATAACTTCAGGATAATTTCAGTACTGGTCATTGAATTTTTGGCGCTCATCGATTAGCTTGGCGGGCAATAGCCTTGACCTAAGCCACCCTGTCTTTTCAAATCATGAATTATTAAACTTGGCAACTCGATTCGATCACCATTGGGCAATCCTTCGCGGGGTTCCGGAGAATTGTCCCATTACAAAGTTTTATGTCTGTAATATTTCAGTCTCGTATCCATTAATGTCGAGCCGCGCCAAGTCGGCAGGCTTTACCAGAGGGTGGGCCGCTTACCCAATTACTGGCTACATGGTACATATACCGGCCTCGTCTTATGATTTGTCGCAACTACTATATAAATTAGTCGCTACAATAAATTCTTATACCAATGTTACGGGTGCACTGGCTGTTTACAAATTATTTAATTACATTACACTTACATAATTATTATATTGTTATCATTGTCCTACTTATGTACTACGGTATACTGGTATTATATCTAATATGCCTATTTTTTTGGAATATTTCGAATATTTAGCGGGTATTATTTTCTTATCCTGTTGTGACTCACTCTGTGACTACGTCAAGTCAAAATCACAGTTGGCCTTTCTTTATTTTGCACCCGGACAAAATTCTATCTTTTATTTTCATCAAACTTCTACTCAGAAAGCCGTCGGTGAATGGTGATGGACTACGGCCGTTGGGACCCTTGTGACTTTATAGTCTCCCCCGGTGTTAGAGGTACTACTGGCTACAGGTCGTCAAGAAGCGGTAGGACCAGCGTTGCTTGCCAACCTCTAAATAATTATCAGGACCAGAGAAGCTTCTCTATCGCTGGCGGACACCTACCTTCTGCCAAGAGAAATATCTCGAAATCAACTAGAAATTTGTCGCTTTCTAACAGAATCTGCGAACTAAAGAATGGGGACGGCAGAAAAAGATCCCTTTCTCAAACCAGCCAACGCTCCAGAAGGGCGTCCTCCTACAACCAAGAAAATACCTTCCACACCAGAAAACTGTCCAGAAAGCTGTCCAAATCAAGTGTAACAATCTGTTTCTCAAACAGGACCATCTCCAACACAAACAGTAATAAAAGTGCCCACTACTCTAATGCAAACCTGGATGATAACACCTCAACTGAAGTGGACAGAGACAGCTACAATGTCCCCAAATCGGAGGAAATCAGCATATGCATTGCAGACAAACTGGAAGAACAGATGCTGAACGGGGAAGTTGTTGAACCACTGGATGTGAAAGTGAAAGAGAATTTTTTGTTGGCAGATAAAGTGAAAGAGAGACTAACATTTGAGGATGGACTGGAGAGTAGGAGTAGCAGCTGCTCACTTCCCAGAATCAGACCTAGAGGTGAATTTAGAGCATGGTCTTGTGCACGTGATCGTTGTACGTGATCCTTTGTACGTGATCCTTTGTACGTGATCCTTTGTACGTGATCCTTTGTACGTGATCGTTGTACGTGATCCTTTGTACGTGATTCTTTGTGAGCAGGGTGATTTTACTGCTAGTGTTTTTGCTGCATGAATTTGGAGCATGGTTTGAATGAAGCCCAAAGCATTATATTTCCTCAAGTTTTCCGTTTTCTACCTGCATGTTAGGTTGATTAAAGCGCAATACAGAAGATTTTATTGAATCATTTTCTAGGCACGTTGTTGGTCAAATAAATACCAATAACTGCTCCTTCTGACAAGGCTGAACTTCTTTTACTAGCTAAAGCCCTTTTTTAAAATGTTACATACTCATCATTACAAACAACAACAAAAACAGGTAATTTGGTAGGTATTGCTCTTAGTCGGTGTACATGCACCCGCAGTCAACATGATAGAATTTAATATAATGTAAAATCATCTACAATTTAAAATTTGGTAAACCCAGTTCACATGGTTAAAACCCCCGTTTAGCCCTTATAAGTGATATTAGTACCTGGTACTCCGGAATAGGTTAACGCTACAGCCACACTCTATATACTCCCCCTAGTTTCATTATAGCTGAAGTGGAACTTTAAGCGTTAACCTTAAACCATATTAAGAATGCGTGGTAGTAGGAGGCCCTACCACTTAAACCCACCTTGACAGGAAGAGACAGCCAGGATCCAGATATTGAATAGATAGCAAACTGTCTAAGTGTTTAGATATCACAGCCGGGGAAATTAATCTCGATGTGGGGGGATTCTCCAGAGTTTTAGTGAGCTGTCAGAGGAACCTTTTAGGTGGTGTCTCCGTAGAGAACGTATTACTTCCTTGCATGACAGAGTGATGGCACATTATATAGGTATCATCTCTTGAACTGCTTGCCATTTAGCAGTGGTGCAGACTGCAGGGGAAATATTAAATAACCAATTAACTTGGAAATTATGGGGCGACAGTTTTCAACATTTTCTCCGATATTTTGGCAATTTCCAAGACACAAATGTCAATTTATATTCTTTGCCATCCAGTTGACGACGTTTGAGAATGTCTGCATTGATATTTTAGTTTCTCCAAAAAACGAATCAAAGATAATATTTTAAATATTACGAATTTTTCCTGATTTGATTAAGCTTTAAAAGGTTATAAATTGAAAATTTAAATCATCATAATATTTTATATTAGCGACAAGAGAAACGCTAATATATTCCTTCTGTAACGTCCTCAACAAATTTATCTAATTTCAGTTGTGAAAATAAAAACCACTCCCAAAGATAACACAATGAAATAGCATACTTTTAACAGCACGATTCAGCATGGTATCTCCACCCACTTATCAATATTTATCACTTACCAACCCACTAATACCACTACCTTCAGGATTGTCCAGTACACGAGCCACCCTGGGGCTGGACACACTTTCCCGGAATTCAAGAATATCTACTTATTCGGACGGGAGCATGCCTGCCAGGTCTTTCTGTGATGAGGTTAGGAACTTAAGATTATTCAGGGTTGGTTAGAATTAGTTTGATCGCTCCAAAACCAGGTGGCTATGATGTAGGTGCTATCAGCTCCTGAAGTTACTTATAGAGTTATAGGTGCTATCAGCTATACTACTATACTATATATCTGTAGATACTACCAGCACCAGCTATCTGTAGGTGCTATCATCTACCAGCTATCTGTAGGTGCTATCATCTACCATCTACCTGTATGTGCTATCAGCTACCTGGTTCAGATGAAGATATTGTGCCAATTCTTGCCTACCCTTAAGTTTATTTTATTCATTGATATATTTCTTTACCGATTGTTCAGGGGGGGGGGGGGGTAGTTACTTATAGAGTTATAGGTGCTATCAGCTATACTATATATCTGTAGATACTACCAGCACCAGCTATCTGTAGGTGCTATCATCTACCAGCTACCTGTAGGTGCTATCATCTACCATCTACCTGTAGGTGCTATCATCTACCAGCTACCTGTAGGTGCTACCGGCTATCAGATACCTGTAGGTGGTATCATCTACCAGCTACCTGTAGGTGCTATCATCTACCAGCTACCTATAGGTGCTATCATCTACCAGCTACCTGTATGTGCTACCGGCTATCAGCTACCTGTAGATGCTACCGGCTATCAGCTATCTGTAGGTGGTATCATCTATCAGCTATCTCTAGGTGATATCATCTACCAGCTAACTGTAGGTGCTACCATCTACCAGCTACCTGTAGGTGCTACTGGCTATCAGCTACCTGTAGGTGCTATCATCTACCAGCTACCTGTATGTGCTATCATCTACCAGCTACCTGTATGTGCTATCATCTACCAGCTACCTGTAGGTGCTATCATCTACCAGCTACCTGTATGTGCTATCATCTACCAGCTACCTGTAGGTGCTATCATCTACCAGCTACCTGTATGTGCTACCGGCTATCAGCTACCTGTAGATGCTATCATGTACCAGCTACCTGTAGGTGCTACCGGCTATCAGCTATCTGTAGGTGCTATCATCTACCAGCTATCTGTAGGTGCTATCATCTACCATCTACCTGTATGTGCTATCAGCTACCTGGTTCAGATGAAGATATTGTGCTAATTCTTGCCTACCCTTAAGTTTATTTTATTCATTGATATATTTCTTTACCGATTGATCAGGGGGGGGGGGGGGGGCGGTATGATTTGGTATATCACTATTTTTGAGTGGACAATTTTTGATCACGTTGTCGAAAAGTGTTCATGACAGAAACTTTTGTTTTAAACGCTCAACATTTGGAAGGTCAAGGGATCACGAACAATGAACAGGTCAAATCATTTATCATCATGGATAATGTAAATCTAACCGTCACTAATAACCTAACATATAGTTTACACTAGACCTAGGGGAGCCAAAAAACCTGTTATTCACTACTGATTCTAAGTATAATGGTTGTTAAATTGTTTGTTAAATTGTCACAATTGATTGCATGTGCTGAACTCAATTCAAGAATATCTACTTATATTCCGGACGGGAGCATGCCTGCCAGGTCTTTCTGTGATGAGGTTAGGAACTTAAGATTATTCAGGATTGGTTAGAATTAGCTTGATCGCTCCAAAACCAGGTGGCTAGGATTAAGGTGCTATCAGCTCCTGAAGTTACTTATAGAGTTATAGATGTTATCAGCTATACTATATATCTGTAGATACTACCATCTACCAGCTACCTACAGGTACTACCGGCTATCAGCTACCTGCATGTGCTATCATCTACCAGCTACCTGTAGGTGCTATCATCTACCAGCTGCTTGTAGGTGCTATCAGCTACCAGCTATCTGTAGGTGCTATCAGCTACCAGCTTTCTGCAGGTGCTATCATCTACCTGCAGGTGCTATCAGCTACCAGCTATCTGTAGGTGCTATCATCTACCAGCTACCTGTAGGTGCTATCAGCTACCAGCTACCTGTAGGTGCTATCAGCTACCAGCTACCTGTAGGTGCTATCAGCTACCAGCTACCTGCAGGTGCTATCATCTACCAGCTACCTGCAGGTGCTATCAGCTACCAGCTATCTGTAGGTGCTATCATCTACCAGCTACCTGTAGGTGCTATCAGCTACCAGCTACCTGTAGGTGCTATCAGCTACCAGCTATCTGTAGGTGCTATCATCTACCAGCTACCTGCAGGTGCTATCAGCTACCAGCTACCTGCAGGTGCTATCATCTACCAGCTACCTGTAGGTGCTATCATCTACCATCTACCTGTAGGTGCTATCATCTACCAGCTACCTGTAGGTGCTACCGGCTATCAGCTATATGCAGGTGCTTCCATCTACCAGCTACCTGTAGGTGCTACCATCTACCTGCAGGTGCTACCGGTTCAAATGAAGATTTCGTGCTAATTCTTGCCTACCCTTAAGCTTATTTTGTTCATTGATATATTGCTTTACCAATTGTTCAAGCAAGACTTCAGCCTAAGAAAGTTTGTGAGGCAATCATCCTAGGCCCTGTCGTGATATCGTGGTTCAAATTAGTTCCACATGGATCTGGTAATACTCATCATTCTGCAGCCTTTACGTAGCTTCATCTCGCACAAATCCTTAAGAAAAATAGATGCTGGGCTATTTTGACAGTCGATTTCGAAACATATGGATTATTGACTAATCCATACGGTCAAGAGACATCTCTGGAGATGAGAAAAGTTCGGCCACGTTTTGAGAAAGTGATTAAAATATCAGATCACGTTGTCGAAAAGTATTCATGACAGAAACTCTTGTTTTAAACGCTCAACAGTTGGAAGGTCAAAGGATCACGAACAATGAACCGGTCAAAGCATCATGAATAATGAAAATCTAATAACCTAACAGATAGTTTCCACTAGACCTAAGGGAGCCATAAACCTGTTATTCACGACTGATTCTAAGTATAATGGTTGTTAAATTGTTTGTTAAATTGTCACAATTGATGTGCTAAACTTAAGGAGCCGTTAATTGTCCCGTACTGCGTCGTTATTGGAGGCAAATAGTTTAATTCGTAATTGAACACATGTTTAAATAGCGATACGGCATTTAATATTCGCACTGTTAATGTTTGAGTCTACTTTAATTCTTCTATCTTGGCGCCCACTCCGGCGAAGTCGGTGTCTGGGTGTGCGTTTATTGAGCTCTTCTTGTTGTAGTTCTGTAATCATCGGCTAAAAACTGGTTGATGAAAAAAGAAAGATGTGGATCTTGTAACAAAAAACTGTTGTAACAGGAAACAACAGTTTCCTGTTACTAGATTAAAAGTCACTGAAGCAGAAAAGAAATCTTCAGTGACTTTTAATCTTGTAACAGGAAACTGTTGTGAGGCTGAATGGTTCCAAATTATAAAATTAGTTGTTAATTAATACCAATCTATTTACCTTAAAAAATGAATTACCGTGTCATTACACACATTAACCCAACTAACCAAGGTTGAACAACTGAAATAACGAGTTTTCGAGTGACGTTTCATCGTGTCTTTTTAACTCAATGATTTCAAAAATCATTGAGTAAAAAAACGATGAAACGTCACTCTTCTCCCATGTGTTTTTCAATCGTTGAACTACCTGACCGTGAAACCTTTAACCGCCAAAGAAGAACCTAACATGGTTACCCAAATCGATTGAGAAATTCAAGTCTGTTCTTCATACCAGACTTTCTTCTGTCACGGAGCATATTGAACCACACAATGCCTCACAACAATCTAAACTTAACCTGAATTATCGGAACCCATCCATTTTTCGACCCTCCGACCGATTTTTGTTATAATGATGATTTTATTATCCGTTCACAGTTCACCTGGTCGGTTATAATATTTCTATAATCGTTTTCTTCTTTAATTTTCTTTAGTTTTCTTCTTTAATGTGGCTTATTAGAATCCACTTTCAAGAATTCAGTTATTCTGAACTTATTTTTTAGACGAGGATGAAATTTTGTTTCCTTCTCACGAACCGATTCTCGTTGAACTGATAGGATTCAATTTCTCTACTTACAATTGTCTTGGTAGTGTTGCTGAAGGAACTAGTCGGTGTTCTCCGACTAGGTAAAACCCCGACGATCTCTCTAGAGATGGCCATTTGGCCATGAACCGGTTTATAATCACTCTACACCGTTTAACTTTAAGAGCCGAATGTTAACCACTATTTTCAAAATCAGCTACTCATTAGCTACTTATAGGCTTCTTATCGGCTACTTATCGGCTACTAGCCGGCTACTTATCAACTACTTATCGGCAACTTAAATCCCAAAACTGATGGACATTTCTGTACTTGTCGCTTTAAGACTGCTAGACAAAATATATTGGTCATACTTAATCAATTAATGAAAATGTTTGAAGTTCGTGGTTCTATATAACCGCCATGATATTCTTATAAGTTTCCAATTGTGTAATCGTTCTAAAAATTCTTTCCACAAGTTAATAAACGCGATTCAATTTGATAGTAGTAAAACTCCCATAACTCTGGTGTCATCTACTGACCATGACGTCAAATATTATAACACATTTAATGGCTGCAGCTGCCACTTGCTTTAATAATAATATGACCTAGGAACCGACCGGAATGGGCTTTTGGCTGCTGGACTGGATATGGCGTATTTTGCCGGATATCAATCTATTATCCGGTTAGCCGGATTTTGCCGGACCGGAACCGGTTGTTAGGAAGGGCAAATATAAGGTTGCCAGAATTTTCCGGAATGTGCTGGATCTTGCCGAAAAATTTAAATTAATCCTTATTATTGGGCTTTTATCATTATCAATTATGATATAAATCCTTATAAGCCATAGATTTAGATATAAATCCTTATAAGCCATAGTTTGTAATTACACAATAAGTTCCGCATTTCTAAGAGCTATACGACCAGCCCGATGATGTTTACTGTTTAAGCCTAGCAGTAGACATAGGTCAAATATCAAATCAACGAGCAGAACGTTGGGACAAGAGTAGACAATTTATTATCAGAAATGATATGCAATTGGCATATCCTACCAGACCCCTTG